CCAGCCAGCGGCCGCGGTGAGGGACCACCCCCTGCGCACCCTCTATGGTGTCGAGAAATTGCCACGCCTGCTATGCCCTGGGCGACCGTCGTGCATAGCAGCCGCGGTGAGGGACCACCCCCTGCGCAGCCTCTATGGTGTAGAGACAATGCCGCGCCTGCTATGGCCTGGACGACCGTCGTGCATAGCAGCCGCGGTGAGGGACCACCCCCTGCGCACCCCGTATGACGTCGAGAAAGTGCCACGCCTGCTATGCCCTGGACGACCGTCGTGCATAGCGGCCGCGCTGAGGGACCACCCTCTGCGCACCCCCTGGTGGTGTCGAGAAAGTGCCACTCCTGCCGCGATCTGCGAGCGTGTCACGGATAGAGGCCGCGCTGAGGGACCACCCTCTGCGCCCCCCTGTGGTGTCGAGAAAGTGCCACTCCTGCCACGATCTGCGAGCGTGTCACGGATAGAGGCCGCGCTGAGGGACCACCCTCTGCGCCCCCCCAGTGGTGTCGAGAACGTGCCACTCCTGCCATGATTTGCGAGCGTGTCACGGATAGCGGCCGCGCTGAGGGACCACCCTCTGCGCACCCCTTGTGGTGTCGAGGAAGTGCCACTCCTGCCATGATCTGCGAGCGTGTCACGGATAGAGGCCGCGATGAGGGACCCACCCTCTGCGCACCCCTTGTGGTGTCGAGAAAGTGCCAGTCCTGCCACGATATGCGAGCGTGTCACGGATAGAGGCCGCGCTGAAGGACCACCCTCTGCGCACCCCCTGTGGTGTCGAGAAAGTGCCAGTCCTGCCACGATCTGCGAGCGTGTCACGGATAGAGGCCGCGCTGAGGGACCACCCTCTGCGCACCCCCTGTGGTGTCGAGAAAGTGCCACTCCTGCCGCGATTTGCCAGCGTGTCACGGATAGAGGCCGCGCTGAGGGGCCACCCAATGCGCACCCCCTGTGGCGTCGAGAAAGTGCCACTCCTGCCACGTTTTGCGAGCGTGTCACGGATAGAGGCCGCGGTGAGGGACCACCCTCTGCGCACCCCCTGTGGTGTCGAGAAAGCGCCACTCCTGCCACGATCTGCCAGCGTGTCACGCATAGAGGCCGCGCTGAGGGACCACCCTCTGCGCACCCCCTGTGGTGTCGAGAAAGTGCCACTCCTGCCACGATCTGCGAATAGAGGCCGCGCTGAGGGACCACCTTTTGCGCACCCCCTGTGGTGTCGAGAAAGTGCCACTCCTGCCACGATGTGCGAGCGTGTCACGGATAGAGGCCGCGCTGAGGGACCACCTTCTGCGCCCCCCCCCCTGTGGCGCCGAGAAAGTGCAATTCCCTCCACGATCTGCGAGCGTGTCACGGATAGAGGCCGCGCTGAGGGACCACCTTTTGCGCCCCCCTTGTGGTGTCGAGAAGGTGCCACTCCTGCCACGGTTTGCGAGCGTGTCACGGATAGAGGCCGCGTTGAGGGACCACCTTCTGCGCACCCCTTGTGGTGTCGAGAGGGTGCCGTTCCTGCCACGATCTGCCAGCGCGTCACGGATAGACGCCGCGCTGAGGGACCACCTTCTGCGCCCCCCCTGTGGTGTCGAGAAAGTGCCATTCCTGCCACGATCTGCGAGCGCGTCACGCATAGAGGCCGCGCTGAGGGACCACCCTCTGCGCCTCCCTGTGGTGTCGAGAACGTGCCACTCCTGCCACGATCTGCGAGTGTGTCACGGATAGAGGCCGCGCTGAGGGACCACCCTTTGTGCCCCCCCCCCTGTGGTGTCGAGAAAGTGCCACTCCTGCCACGTTCTGCGAGCGTGTCACGGATAGAGGCCTCGCTGAGGGACCAGTTTCTGCGTACCCCTTGTGGTGTTAAGAAAATGCCATTCCTGCAACGATCTGCCAGCGTGTCACGGATAGAGGCCGCGCTGAGGGACCACCCTCTGCGCCCCCCTGTGGTGTCGAGAAATTGCAATTCCTGCCACGATCAGCGAGCGTGTCACGGATAGAGGCCGCGCTGAGGGACCACCCTCTGCGCCCCCCCTGTGGTGTCGAGAAAGTGCAACTCCTGCCACGATCTGCGAGCGTGTCACGGATAGAGGCCGCGGTGAGGGACCACCCTTTGCGCCCCCCTTGTGGTGTCGAGAAAGTGCCACTCCTGACACGATCTGTCATTGCGTCTCGGATAGAGGCCGCGCTGAGGGACCACCCTCTGTGCCCCCCTTGTGGTGTCGAGAAAGTGCCACTCCTGCCACGATCTGCGAGCGTGTCACGGGTAGAGGCCGCGCTGAGGGACCACCCTTTGCGCTCCCCTTGTGGTGTCGAGAAAGTGCCATTCCTGCCACGATCTGCCAGCGTGTCACGGATAGAGGCCTCGCTGAGGGACCACCTTTTGCGCACTCCCTGTGGTGTCGAGAAATTGTAATTCCTGCTACAATCTGCGAGCGTGTCACGGATAGAGGCCGCGCTGAGGGACCACGGTTTGCTAACCCCATGTGGTGTCGAGAAAGTGTAACTCCCGCCCCGATCTGCCAGCGTGTCACGGATAAAGGCCGCGCTGAGGGGCCACCCAATGCGCCCCCCTGTGGCGTCGAGAAATTGCAATTCCTGCCACGATCTGCGAGCGCGTCACGGATAGAGGCCGCGCTGAGGGACCACCCTCTGCGCCCCCCTGTGGTGTCGAGGAATTGCAATTCCTGCCACGATCTGCGAGCGTGTCACGGATAGAGGCCGCGCTGGGGGACCACCCTCTGCGCTCCCCTTGTGGTGTCGAGAAAGTGCCACTCCTGCCACGATCTGCGAGCGTGTCACGGATAGAGGCCGCGCTGAGGGACCACCCTCTGCGCCCCCGTGGTGCCGAGAAAGTGCCACTCCTAGCACGATATGCGAGCGTGTCACGGATAGAGGCCGCGCTGAGGGACCACCCTCTGCGCACCCCCTGTGGTGTCGAGAAAGTGCCACTTTACCACGATATGCGAGCGCGCCACGGATAGAGGCCGCGCTGAGGGACCACCCTCTGCGCGCCCCCTGTGGTGTCGAGAAAGTGCCACTCCTGCCACGATCTGCCAGCGTGTCACGGATAGAGGCCGCGCTGAGGGACCACCCTCTGCGCCCCCCCCAGTGGTGTCGAGAAAGTGCCATTCCTGCCACGATCTGCGAGCGTGTCACGGATAGAGGCCGCGCTGAGGGACCACCCTCTGCGCCCCCGTGGTGCCGAGAAAGTGCCACTCCTAGCACGATATGCGAGCGTGTCACGGATAGAGGCCGCGCTGAGGGGCCACCCAATGCGCACCCCCTGTGGCGTCGAGAAAGTGCCACTCCTGCCACGTTTTGCGAGCGTGTCACGGATAGAGGCCGCGGTGAGGGACCACCCTCTGCGCACCCCCTGTGGTGTCGAGAAAGCGCCACTCCTGCCACGATCTGCCAGCGTGTCACGGATAGAGGCCGCGCTGAGGGACCACCCTCTGCGCCCCCCCCAGTGGTGTCGAGAAAGTGCCATTCCTGCCACGATCTGCGAGCGTGTCACGGATAGAGGCCGCGCTGAGGGACCACCCTCTGCGCCCCCCCAGTGGTGTCGAGAAAGTGCCACTCCTGCTACAATCTGCGAGCGTGTCACGGATAGGGGCCGCACTGAGGGACCACCCTTTGCGCACCCCCTGTGGTGTCGAGAAAGTGTCATTGCCTGTGGTGTCTGTGCTGCGGTGTGATGAGCGCGGGTGCGGCGCGGCAGGGAAGAGAAGGAGAGGGAGGACAAGGAGAAGGAGGCGCCGCGGGTGAGACGCGGAAGGGAAGAAAACCAGAACCCCACGAAGCATGTGGGGAATAACAACAACGACAACAACAACAACAACAACAACATCATCAACAACAACAACGACAACAACACCAATGTTCAGATTGTTCGCTCCTACCTGCTCGTGGGCCACTCGATACCCGCCTTGATCGTCTTCGCTTGTACCCCTTGGGGGTACATTTTCTTTCTTACCTGCAACGTGTATTTCGTGCAGCCCCTGGGGCAGGGGAAGTGAAGGCGGATGGAAGGAAGGGACAGGGGGAAGGAGGAGGATGGAGCACGAGAGAGAATAGCAGGATGGGTGTTGAGAGCAGAAAACACGTGACATTTACCAGACGGGCAGATCGGGCGGGTATACCCCAACGGGCCAGTCGGGAAGTCGGGCCCAGACGGCCAGGTCGAGCAAGCAGGTTTCTGAAACGTGCGTCCTGCATGTATCGCGAGGAGGTTTCGAGCGATGGCGCAAGTCTCATATACATATGGAGGAAGTCCATAGCGAGAGCGTGATTCCTGAGCGTCGAGGGCCCAGCGCTTACACACATTGGGAGAAAAATCCACGCGAGAGCGCAATTCCTGCATACACTGTGAGGAAGTCCCGCGCGAGAGCGCGATTTGGGAATACATCGTTTGGAATAATCAGGTGGGAGACGCTGTTGTTGCAAACCGCGGGCCAGGGGCGCAGTTTGGTGTCACCCTGCTTTCCATTGTTAAAAAAAGGGTGCGAGTCCCGGGAGAAGCCCTTCGATCGAACACATACAATGGCTACCGGGCAGGGGGGATTTTCAATTTCGACGTGAAAATTCAACAACAACAACAACAACAACAACAACAACAACAGCAATAACACCAGCAGCAACAACACCAACCACAACCACAACAACAACAGCAATAACACCAACAACAAAAACATCACCCATCCTTTTAAGAGTGTTTGCTCTTATCTGCGCGCGTGTCACTCACGACGTATAACCCAAACCCTGGATACCCGCTCTCTTCGTCTTCGATCGTGCCCCTTGGGGGGAGTATCTTCCTTACCTGCAACGTACCCCCTTGGGGCAGTACCTTTCTCACCTGCAAGGTGTACTTCATGCAGCCCCATACAGCAGGGGAAGAGAGGACGGATGGAAAGCACGGGCAAGGGGGGAGTTACACTCCTCCGCTTCGTTGCCGTCATCCTGAGCGTCTTGCTCCACCCGCCCCCTTCTGTGCCGCGCGCCGCCGAACGCTCTCTGAGGTGGGCAAGCTGGCGCCCTGGAGCTCGGGCTGCTGCGGGGGGCCCAACTGGTGCAACCCGGGCAACGCCGTCAAGGGGCAGCGGTGGGCGCTCTGCGCGGGGCAGCCCCAGGCCAGCGGAGCGGGAATACCTTCAGACGACGACGACGACGACGACGACGACGACGACGACGACGACGACGACGACGACGACGACGACGACGGCGGCGGCGGCGGCGGCGGCGGCGAGGACGGCGGCAGCGGCCACGACGGCGACGTCGACGGCGACGGCGTCGGCGATGACGACGGTCGCGACGGACGACGACGACGACGACGACGACGACGACGACGACGACGACGGCGGCGACGGCGGCCACGACGACGACGATGACGACAACGACGATGACGACAGCGACGACCACAGCGACATCGACGTCGACGGCGACGGCGACGACGCCCGTCGCGGCGAACGACGACGACGACCGTCGGCAGGTGGGAAGACCTTCAGCCCCGGGCGACACGAAAAAGCGTTGCGGCCGGCTGCTCTGCTGGTTCGGCCTCCGGGAGACGCTTCCCGTCCCCTTTGACCGACAATAAACATAAAACGACGCGAAGATCGGGACAACATCGGATCGGGATAACTCGAAGTCTCTGAGACTCGGCGGGTTTGGAGGACGTATTGGGCGCCGCGGCCGCTCCAGAGCGTTCCGGAACGCTCTGAGAGCGCTCCGGAACGCTCTGGAGCGATTTATCCCGATCCTAGTCCTGTTTTAAAACAGGTCGGGATGAGAAGCATGTCCAGTCCCCGGGAAGGCCTCGAGATCCCCCGGGGCCCACGTCGCCAGGGGCCAGGAGCAGGGGGATCAGGCAGGCCATGAACTATACAGGATGAACAGCTCCAGAAAAGCTTTCCGCAACCAGATCTTCCGGGATTGCAGTCAAGTCGCATAGTAAGGATGAGCAATTTTCCAATGCTGCCCTTGCACCCCTGCCCCTTCGGAACCATCCTTGGCGACGTTCGCTGGCCAAACCCGTTCGAAAGCGCCCACACGGCCCTGCCAGGCCCTTGCATCCCTACCGCACGTCCTTGTTCTGCGACTTGATTGTGCCCTCATGCGAATTGATCCTCATCCTGCCTTTGTCTTACCAGGCCGGCGGGCCAGAAGAGAGCCAGGCGCCAGGAGGAGGAAGGATGGAGTGGAGAGGAGGAGGGGGAGAGGCAAAGGAGACGAGGAGGAGAGGTAGGAGGGGAGGAGAGGAGGAGGAGGAGGAAGGAGGATAAGGAGGAGGAGGAGGTGGTGGAGGGACGGAGGGAAGGAGGAGAGGCAGGAGAGGGTTCCTCGTTCCCCGAAGCCCAGAAAGGATCTTCGAAGCTCCGAAGTACGCCTCTCGTCCTCGAACCTCGCCCCTCCCACTGCGGCATGGGCTCGCCCGCGTCCGCCCGCGACCCGCCCGCGTCCGCCCCTGTTGGCGCGGTCCTGTCGGAAACGCTCGATTGGAACACGACGGGAGGGCGGGTGAAAGGGGACCCGCCATCCCCAAACAGGTTTCAAAACGCCTGGCAACATGAGTCTTCGAAACTCATTCTCCTCCTCGCTCCTCCTCCTCCTCGAGCCTCCTCGTCCAAGCTTGATGCGGTCTGCCTCGGCCCCGCCCTCAACCCATCCACTCGAGGTAACCCAAAAAGCTGACTTCAGCTTCTGTTTGAGGCGCTCGCCTCCCCTACTTCGTCTGGCAGGGGCCGGGAGTCCTGATGCTCCAGTGCTCGTTCTGGCTTCTCGGCGAACCTTTCAGTCTCGCGCCCCCCTCGGACCTCCTCCTCCTGCTCCTCCTCCTCCTCCTCCTCCTCCACCTCCTCCTCCTCCTCCTCATCATCATCATCATCATCATCATCATCATCATCATCATCATCATCATCCTGCTCCTCCTCTTCCGCATCCTCATCCTCATCCTCATCAGCAGCAGCAGCATCATCATGATCAGCAGCATCATCATCATCATCAGCAGCAGCATCGAAACCCATCCTTTGCCCTCGGAGCCTCCCCCCCTCCTCGCGCCTCCCGTGGCGCGCCGCCCGCCGCCGCTGCCGCCGCGGCCCGCGGCAGCGCGGCGGAGGGCCGCGCGCCGCGCACTGCCCGCTGCCGCTGGCGCCGCGCCGCCGCCGCCGGAGGTGCTCCCCCGAGCCTCCTCCTCCGCCTCCCTCCTCTTCCTCCTCCTCCTCCCCTCCTCCACCTTCTCCTCCTCTCCCTCCTCCCCCTCCCTCCTCCTCCTCCTCCTCCTCCTCCTCCTCCTCCTCCTCCTCCTCCTCCTCCTCCTCCTCCTCCTCCTCCTCCTCCCAGCGGCGTGGCCTGGGCCCCACTGGCCGACTTACCTTTCGCCGGAGTGGCCTTTGGTGCGGGCTCATCGGGCTCCCCCCGATCGCCGAGCGCGATGCGATATAAGCGGCCCGCGCCCTTGGGTTTGGCTCCCTCGCGCCCCCAAAAGCTGCGCACCAAAGGTCACTCTTACCCAGGGTCACTCTTACACCTAGCCGAGTATCGTTCTACCGATCCCCAGCCCCAGCGGCGTGGCCTGGGCCCCACTGGCCGATGTACCCCCCCAGATGGGGATATCTAGGCCGCTCCCTGCAGGTTTCGAGGGGTGCATCCCCAGCTGGGGTGGTAGTCTGGTGGGGGGTCTCGAAGGGGATGGGGATGGGGCTGGGGATACGTGACACGATACCGAGTGTGGTAGAAAAGTAACGGCGGGCAGATTCTGGCAGTCTCCCGCTCTTGGGGGCCGTCACATGAATCTACGGCAGTTGAGGACCCGCTCAGGACGACAAGTCAGGCAGAGCGGGCCCCAGGGACACGGCCCAGACCTTCCGACAGAGGATCTTCTTGAGCAGGGTGTGAGGAAGACATGGGGGTGACTTCGAGCCGAGACCCCCCCTCTCAGAGGTCAGGACAGCGGGGTTCACACACCCCTCCCCCCCTCTCCAGAGTGAAGGCCGAGGGGCGGGTCGAAACCCCCGCCTAGCGCCAGCAACCGAGAACGCCGATGACTGCGACGATGACGACGACCACGATTGCGCTGACGACTATGACGTGTCCCGCCCGACTGACGCCCACGACAACGGCGACGACGTGTCCCGCCCGACCGACTCGCGCACGACAACGACGACACAGACGAGGACGACAACGAAGACGACGACGACGACGACGGCGGCGACAACAACAACGACGGCGACGACGACGACGACGGCGGCGGCGACTACGACGACTGGGACGACGACGACGACGGACGACGACCACGACGACGACGACAACGACGACTAGGACGACGACGACGGACGACGACGACGACGACCACGACGACGACGGCGATGACGACGACGACCACGACGACGACGGCGATGACGATAATGACGACGAAAACGACGACGTCGACGACGACGAGCGGCGGCGGCCGCGACGACGACGACGGCGGCGACGACGATGACGGCGGCGACGACGACGACGACTGAGGCGACGAGGACGGTGACGACGACGACGACGACGGCGGCGGCGACGACGATGACGTCGGCGACAACAACGTCGGTGACGATAACGACGACGATGACGATGACGAGAGGAGGGGGGGGTTCTCGGGGCGGCTGGGGGATCCCAGCTCTGGAGAGGAGGCGAGGAGGGTTTTTTTCGGAGAGAGGGAGAGTGCCCCCGTTCCAGGGGGAGGGAAGAGATTTTGCCGCCGGTTGAGCGCACGCAGACGTCGCAGGAGTCTGGAGTTCACGCTGCGGAGAATCACGACTTCGGGGGTTGAGTCATGTTCACCGCCTGGGGGTTGAGACATGTTCACGCTGTTGGGTTGTCCGAGGCTGGGGTTGAGACATGTTCACCGTCTGGGGATCCACTCCTCCTGGACATCCAGGGAGGGACGGACGCGGCAACCTTTGCCCACCCCTGGGGGAGCCCGAATACATCCACACACACCACACACACACACACTTCGCTTTCCTGGTTGGGCTCCAGGGACGTCGGTTTCCCCAGGCGGTGTGTGTGTGTGTACTCGCCTTCTCGCGGCTTCAGCTCGTGGGCGTCCCAGAGGGGGGTGAGGACCAGGGAGGCAACTACCAGGGCCGGGGGCAATCTCCAAGGTTCTGGCCCAATCTTCTTCCTTCAGTGCCGTCCCTGCCCCCCCCCCCCCTCCCCAGTCCGTGCACGGAGGAGGAGGAGGAGGAGGAGGAGGAGGAGGAGGAGGAGGAGGAGGAGGCAGACGAGGGGGAGGGAGGAGGAGGAGGAGGAGGAGGAGGAGAGGAGGAGGAGGAGGAGGAGGAGGAGGAGGAGGAGGAGGAGGAGCAGGAGCAGGAGCAGGAGGAGGAGGAGGAGGGAGGAGGAGGAGGAGGAGGAGGAGGAGGAGGAGGAGGAGGAGGAGCAGGAGCAGGAGGAGGAGGAGGAGGAGGAGGAGGAGGAGGCAGACGAGGAGGAGAGGCTCCTGCGTGCGGGTGGCCCCGGGCCCCGCGCGCGCCCCCCGCCGCACAGGTCCCCCCCCGCCGGCCCAGGGCCCTGCTCGGGCGCCCCTGCGAGACGCCCGGCGGGCCCCTGCCCAGCGACGCCCTGGCGGCGACGTTCGCGAGCGGGGCCAACACCTGCGGGAAGGTCACGCCGGCCGCCGCGTGGGGCCTCTCGCTCGGCGGCGGCCCCTCTTCTGCACGAGCGAGGTGGGCACGGAAGGAATGGGTGCGATGCCCAACAGCAGTTCTTGTTCATTCTGATCAGCACTCGCTGTCCGCGCCGCCGCGGCCTGTGTCCATTCGAGACACAGGGCCGCCCGCCCAACAGCGGCCGCTGTTGGTTTGGGACAGCAGCTGTTGTTGTGAATTGTGCCCATTCTTTCCGTACCCGTTTCGGGCGTCCAAACCTCTGGCCAGGCCGCGGCACGGGCCTCCATCGCACTGGCCAACAGAGCCTCGCGGAGGTCCTCGTCGGCCCTCTCGGGGCTCTGCCTGCCTCGGGGCTGCCTGCCAGCAGGCGCGCCTCGCCGAGAGCGCTCCCGAGGTTCCCGACTCGTGCTGCCCCGGCCGCTGGAGGCCCGAGCGATTGCCCGGAGGCCAGGCCCCCAACGTAGTCATTGGCACGGATCTCTTCGCCGTGTTCGGCTTCTGGGGGGTCCTCGCCGGGCCCCGGGGCCGTGCATTTGAGAGCCTGGTCCTGGGGCAGAGGCTCAGCTCCAACGGCGCGGCGCCTGATGGAGGAGGAGGAGGAGGAGGAGGAGGAGGAGGAGGAGGAGGAGGAGGAGGAAGGCATGGGGAGATTAGCTGGGACGAGGCGGACGGGAGAGAGGGGGATGAGGAGGAGGGGGCAGCGGCGAAGTGTAGGGGGACATGGGGGATGGGGGCCACCCGGAGCTGTGAGAGCGCTCCGAGGACCGCAATGTGGCATCCGCTCTCCTCCCTCAGCGGGAGGGCTGTCCTGGTTGCAGCATCAAGGCACGAGTGGGCCGCCGCCACCAGAACCCGCATGGCAGCCGAGGTCGGAAGGGTCCATGTCGATCCGATCCATCCGAGTCGATATCGATGTTGGCTGGCTCGATACGGCTCAAGCCCACGTGCCGACGATATGTGATGGTTCCCGATGTTTGCACGCTGCTGTTGTGTATCTCGACGTAGCCGGTTCGATTCAAATTCGATTTCGATCCCGTGCCGATGCCGCGCAGCACAATCCCGCCCCCCCCTATCCCGAAGATGACTCCTCCGCAGCCGTTTTTGCCCAAGCGCCCCGAAAAGTCCACATATCCGCTACCGACTCAGATCACCGCGTTCCCGAGATGTTCGGGCGGTTTCTCGGCGCAGGTGCTATCGCCGCAGTCAGTGGTCTGCAGGTCACGGACCCGCAGGAGTCTATGCAGCTGATGGGTTCCCACGTCGTGTCCGCTCTGGACCCGGAGTTGGTTAACACTCTAGGCGAGAAGTTCCACGTGACTCTGCCTGGAGAGTGGAATTTGATTGGAATTCCCAGGGGGTTCGACCCATCTAATGCAGAAGCTGCGGAATTGGTCGTCAACGCGACCATTGAGGATGTGGGATTAAAGGATTGCGACGACCTCCTCATCCGTAAAGTGTCGATCTTCGGGCAGAAGTTGGGGAGCAACATCACTTCTCTGGAGTTTTCGGTCGGCAGCGATGTCTTCAACGAAACTGCCACTATGGGGTTGATCGTCAACACACCGTCGGGGTCTACAAATGCCACCGCTGATCCAGCAGCTTTCGTCCAGCTGGTGCCGCAATGCCAGATCACGCGTCCTCGCGGCACCATCGCGGAGCCCACGAAGAACAGCTTCCGCAAGCGCACGAAGCTCTTCACCGCGGTGTGCTCCCTGGAGAAAGGAGCAAACGTGATCACCGTGACTTGGTCTACCGTGTGGCGCGGATTCAACGCCGGAAGCGTGTACTACCAAAACGACATGGAGGTGTACGTCTCGGGGGTCGGAGACGATCCCGCAGGCCTCCTGGGCCCCGACGACCACACGGAGGCCAGCAGGATGGTCACTGGGTGTTTCAAGCCGCAGCCCGTGGGCGGGCCCTTCCAGAGTAGGAAGACGGCCTGACTAGACGCTTGATGCCTTAGTTGTCTTGGATCACGGCGGCTGTTGAGGCGGCCGGCAGAGTGACTTTTGTTAGTCGGTGGAGCGCTTTGGCCTCCGCCGTCTTGACCGCTGGAGGATGGGAAAGCGAAGGAGCAGATCCCCCCTCCCCCTGTCCACATCTTTATCTGATCGGCGTTCCTGGCCCGCAGAAGAGATCTGCCTCCTTGCTACGGGACGAGCGCGGGTCGAAAGGGTTGCCGGCGCATGCAGGCCTCATACGAAGTTGGCATGCCAGCGTGTGCCCGACGATGGTGTTATTTGCCCCTCGATTACCCCGTACGCACCAAAGCTCTAGAGCGTCCTACGGACATCGGAGAATAGCATGCATCGACGAAGCACGAGTCCGTAGCAAGACTATCATTTGAGTGATGGTGTTCCGCCGGCGCGAGCGCAGCCAGTGTACACTCGGGCAAGTGTTAGATTCGAGTACGCAGGAGCTCGGGTGTGCTGGCGCTGTTTGACGAGCGCGTCCTGGATTTTGACGGTCCAGTTTTCGTGGGATGCCTGCAGCGGGACTTCGCGTCGCATTGCAGATCGGGCCCCGTCCTGCCCATGATGGCCCCGTCAGGCCAACCCGAGTCCCCCGAACCCGAGCCTTCATTACGTCTCCCCGATGCACGCGTGTTGTCAGAGGCCCGAATCATCAGGGGCAACTCGGGTCAGGGCCAACTCGGGTTCGTTTTTCGGGAATCCGAACCCGAGTTACCCCGGGCCCGAGTTACCCCGGATAACTCGGGCGCCCAATGTTGGCCGGGTCGGGGGTCGAGCAGCTGTCGCTGCGCTCGGGCCTTCGTTCACCCGGGCCGCCGCCGCTTCTCCCGCACGAGGGGCTGTTTGGGGGGAGGCCTCGGTCGGCCCCCTGGGGCCGTGGGCGGGCGAGCCGCGCGGGATCGCTCGGTGCCCGCGGCGGCGTTTCGTTCCGGTGCGGTCACGGGGCAGGGCTCGAGCTCAACTCAGGAGGGGAAAAACACACAGACACAATTATTCGTCGATTCCCAGAAAAAAATGCGAAAATATGGGAAGTGGGGGGAAGACAGAAATCCAGGAAATATGGGAAGACATGGTGAATATGTTTATTTGTGTGTATTTATTTGTGTATTTGTGGGCCCCTTCATCAACGGTGTCTTGGCGATTTCGTGGGCCGCTTTCGTTTTGGCTTCGTCTTGCAGCAGAGAGGTGGGCCGACGACAGAGCGGGGGGAAGCGAAAATAGAACGAGAACGGGCAGCACGGTCCAGCTCTAGTTAGCCCTGTTCACAGGGGTCCGTTCGGGCATCTGGTGCGTCGGCGGACGACCGCCACGGGGTGGAGCGGAACGCTGCTCGGCGGCTTGCCCGGGAGGCGTGGCGTGAGAAGGGGCGGGCCGTCTCAGAAGGCTCGGAAGTCCTCCAGTCTTCTGAGGAGTTTTTTTTCTGAGCCTTCCCCGAAGATGCAGGAAACTTCTTGGAAGGCGCAAGGATTTCTGAGGAGAAGTTCCGCCGCCTCCTGAGAAGGTCTCCTCCTTCTCACTTCCCCCCCCCTCGCTCGCCGCCGTGATGCCCCGGGAAGAGGTCGGTCGAAAGCTCCGAGGCCGCGAATGGAAAGCAGCGCAGGGCATCGAACGTCCAGGGTGCGGACAGTGGACCGCTCGTGCGCCCAGCGCAGACGTCGCCGCGCCTCGCCAAGATGGAAGCGTGCGGGGTGAAGGACCAGCGACGCCAGCATCACCCAGAGGTCCACCCACCTGGCGAGGGGGTGCGCGGTGCCCTCCTCGAGATGGAGATCTCTAGGGGTGCGCGGTGCCCCCCGCGGTGCCCCCCTCGAGATGGAGATGCGCAGGCAAGCAGTGCCGTTACACCACCATGCGGAATCAGTTATGATCCGATCGATTTGGCGATTTGACATCGATCCTGGTTGGCTCGATGAGCATGTGTTCCGATTTGACCATCTGGTGCGGCCCGATGCTGCAGTGCTTGCATGGCGCTGTGGTGCGTCCTGGCGCAGCCGATCCGATTCGACTTCTCACCACCCACCAAACCACCCCAACCCAACCCGAAGGCCTCGCTCTGCCCTCCATTTCCAGTGGGGAGGGGGGGGGGTCGGGGCACCTGGAAAGAACACTCGGGACCCGTACCCCCCCCAACCAGGAATTCGGCTCAGACTCGGGTCTTCGGGTTGGGTTGGGGTGGTCTGGTAGGTAGCCTTATGTCGGGCGTGTTCCCCTACAGGGGGATTTTCGACGAACAATCAGAAATACCCCACATATATCCAACAAGATAGTACAAACATGGTATGGGGACAATTTGCTTGATTACCTCTTGACTCTTTTGGGGGTATTTTTGGAGGTATTTTTTAATTTTTCGTCGAAAATCCCCCTGTCGGGGGACACGCCCGACATAAAGGCAGTCCATCTCGGCCCCGTGCCGCTGGCGGCCCGCCCGCCAGATGTAAAAGAAAACGGTGGGTGGCCAGCACTCCCCTGCTACATTTGCATTGGGTTTGCCTATGTGCGGACGTGCAGGTCGAGGGTGCCGAGCCTCTGGCGGTCCACCGTGTTATGGAGGCATTGTGACGTAGTCTCCCCCTGTCCGCCGGGAGTGACCCGCGAGGCCGGGAGGGCCGAGGCGGCAAACTCGCGAAAGAAAGAAAGAAGCCCCGACGCACACTCCGATCCGCTCCCCCGGGCCCGCTGCTGCCTGGGCCCTGGGGCCGCCCCTCTGCCCTCCGGCGGTGCTGGCGCAGCGCGGGGGGGGCCACTCGGGCCTCGGCCTGCGGCCCCAGCCTTCGGATGTCCTGACCCACCTCCTCGTCCTCCTCCTCCTCCACCTCCTCCTCCTCCTCCTCCTTGTCCTCCATCTCCTCCTCCTCCTCCTCCTCCTCCTCCCTCCTTGTCCTCCCTCCTCCTCCTTCCTCTCCCTCCTCCTCCCTCCTCCTCCATCATCCTCCTCCTCCTCCTCCTCCTCCTCCTCCTCCTCCTCCTCCTCCTCCTCCTCCATCCTCCTCCTCCATCTCCTCCTCCTCCATCCTCCTCCTCCTCCTCTTCCTCCTTCCCCTCCTCCTCTTCATCCTCCACTTCTTAGCCCGAATCGCCAGGAAGAATGCCAAGCACCAAGAGAGCACCGAGGCTCGAGGGTTTTCACGTGTAGTGCCCTGGGAGGCGCTCGTTCGGCACCCAGTCGGCACTGTTCGGGCACTGTTTCGACACTTCTCCTTCGGGGTGCTCGAGATTATCTATGGGATGTGGTCTCTCAGTACGGTGGGAGCAACATAAGCCCAACCCGCTGCCAGGACGCGCGCAGCCGCGCCCGTCCGACCGCCCCCGCCCCCGCCCGCACTGCACCCGCGGGGGCCAGCCCCCGCCCGGCGGGCTCCGTTCCCTCGCGCGGGGATCGGTCCGCCGCCCCCGGGCGAGGGACGAGGGGGCGGAGTGCGAGGAGGAGGAGGAGAAGGAGGAGGAGGAGGAGGAGGAGGCGGATAGGGGGCCATGCTCGGGAGCCCATGCTGCCACGCCGCGCCACGAGGTCTCTGCCGGCCTCATCTTCTCTTCTGTTCTTGTCTGTCCTCCCCCATTTCCCTCTCTTCAATTCCGTGTTCGCTTGTTTGCTTTCTCCAAAGTAAGAGCCATTTCATATTCTGTCTTCCATGGCAGCGTTGGTCTTTGTCTCCTGCTAACATAGGTCATGGTAATGAATCAGCGCGCGATCTTAAAACGCAAAGCGAAAAACATAGTTACTATATTGCGCCGCCTAACCAAAACAACACACAAAACGTGATCCTGAAATCCCAGATCCTATCATTACTATGACCTGAGTGGCTGGAAGGGCAGACTCTCGTGCCCCCGATGCGCGGAGGCGTCGACAGAGAACCGAAAAGCATGTTCCGAGGTCCGTGCGGATTCTTTGTTTTGGCGCAGCACACCGCTTCCTACAGCCCTTCCGGCGCCTCAGGCGCCACTCCGGTCGCGCTCCGCACCCAGGGGATGGAGTGTGTGGGGGGGTGGTCCAGCACCAACACAAGACATCCACGCGGATCTTCCAAAGTTTCTGATAATGTCGTCGTTGAGCTCACGGTGATTGGGTGTTCTTCTTACGAGGAAGTGGGGGTGCAGGTGTGGCGACTGTTGCTTCCGCCTCGGATCTTGACCCGCAGCGGTCCCTGGTGGCCGCGGACGGGCCCAACGATCGTTCTAAGACGTTCAAGAGTTCCCCCCAAGGGTTCGAAAATTTCGGCCTCGATAGTGGAAGTGCGGTCACCGTGAAGAAGTTGTTTGAAGCTTCGTATTCGTTTGAGCTGCCGCCGTCACGCTGCTGTCCAGACTGCCTTGAACGCGACTGGGAGCAGTTCTGGATCTGATAATGACGGCGACTTGGAACAGAGAAAAACGCCTCGATCCTCCGCGGCCGCCGAGAGCAAAACTTGGCCTGCAGGTGCATGACGACGTCGACCTGGACGACGACGGGAGCTCTCACCTGACTCGCCGGCTGAGCCCGTGCGAGCTGGAGGCGCCGACCTGGCTGCATGCGAAGCTGATGTGCCCCGAGCATCCGGACGGGAACGGCTGGGTGATGAGGCAGGCTGAAGCTGGCGTGTCAGCGCTGGCGCTGGCGCCTGCCTTCTTGCCAGGGGCTCAGCCGGGCCTTCACGTCGTTGGGCGTCGAAAGTATAGGACCGGACTCGTGACGGCCAGCTGTTGCCAATGCGCTCGGCCGCTTCGAGGCCGCCCGTCCAGCCCCGGGAGCGTGAACGGCTCAGCGTGGAAAGCCGGCCAGGGGAAATCGGCGACACGCAAGAGTGACCCTTCGCCAGAAGGAGCTTTGGCGATGGGGGGCGACGCCACTGTGGGTCGAAGAACGGGGCCCTACAGTCGGGGCCCTACAGTCGGGGCCCTGAAGAAGGAACCCTTTTCGTTGGGGAGGGGCTCCGCGTTCCTGAAGTGTTTCGCAGCTTGCCTCAGGTTTTCCTTACGTCTTCGATCGGAACATCGAAGTTTAACCCATGGAAGAAAGGGGCATCGTTCCTTATTTTGGGTTCCTTAGGTCAAGCCCCGACTGTAATAGGCGCCCTTTGGGGGGCCGGGCCCCTCTCCGGCGGGGTCCCCACGCGCCCCGACCACCTCTTCATCCTGAGTCGTGTCTTCGGCGGGACTGCTGGGCCTGGCGAGGCCCCCCAAGAGGCTGGCAACGACGAACCCATCAAATGTTGATTCAGCGAGCGAAGAACGGTATAAAATACACTTTTTCGCCGTCGGGGGCACCTGCCCCTGGGCGGCTGGAAAGTTATACCCCTACGGTGCCACCGTAAGGGTATAAATTTTCCAGCTGCCCTGGGGCAGGTGTCCCCGACAGCGAAAAAGTTTATTATGTACCGTTCTTCGCCGTTAATTGATGCCCCCAAGACATCGGATGTCTGGGGCAGGGGGGGAGCACCATGCCGAACGTCTCTTCCTCCCCATCCCCGCCTCCCAGCCCAGAACTTGTATTTCTGCGGTCGCCGATGCGCCGCCGCCTGGCGCACTCGTAGGGGCCGTCCCGCGGGACGAGCAGGCGCATTGTCCAGAGTCCACCAGAGGAGGAAGTGCATCGTTACAGCTACCCCTCCCTCGTCGCCGCGGTGGGGTCTGCCTCGATCCTACAGTGGAAGCCCATGCCGAGAAGCACCCTACCCTACTTTGCCTCCAGCTGGGGGCCCTGGGTTTCTTGTGTGTTCGAAGGTTTTGCTGAGGACAACGTGACGTTCCAACACCAAAAACCACTGGGGTTCCAGGGTTGGGTTTCTTATGGAAGGTTTCTTGTGGTACAACTCCCACAGTAGTCAGATGATGCACCCCTAGAGATGTGCACGGAGCAGCGGCATCAGTATCCTTGTGCCAGGCCCAGTCCAGGCATTCTTTTCCCGACCCCTCTTCTCCCGTGCACCTGGCGCCTTGCCTTTTCCAGCGCGTGGCCCCGGAGTCCCGGACCCTTCCCCCGGGGTCCGGCTGTTCGTCCCAAGCTATATTTGATGGTTCCTGGAGGAGGAGGAGGAGGAGGAGGAGGAGGAGGAGGAAGAGGAGTCTGGCCGAACGCGTCGACGAGCATTCGCGTTGTTGATCTGAGTGTCCTCCAGGCCGCAGCTCAAACCTCCCGCCTCCGTTCACAAGACGTGGCGGGCACCCCCAGAACGCTCTCGGCGAGGCGCAGCTGATGGACTTGTTTCCCAACTCCACCACCAGAAGTCGGAGGGGGAGGGAGTCCTCCTCCTTCTCCTCCTCCTCCTCCTCTTCTTCGTCCTCCTCCTCCCCGTCCTCCCCCTCCTTCCCCCCTCCAACTTGTGGTGGTGGTGGTGGTGGACGACAGGCCCATCAGCAGCTGCTGGCAAATGTACCGAGCCGAGGGCGCGAAAAAGCTCCGACGACCCACGAACACCGCCCGCACCGGCTGCTTCCATGCGTCGGAGATCTGGGCTCGCCCAGCGCGATCCTCCTCCCATCGGGCGCTCAATTCAATTGGGACCCCGTGTGTGACGCCACCACGCCGCGCTCGCGCCGCAGACCTGCACGGGACCGCCGGAGGACCGCCGAGAGGCCGCCGAAGGGCCACTTCGGGGGCAACGACAGAGACTTGGCATCGCTCGGACGTGTGCATTTTTCCTTCGGCGAGGACCATCGAGGAGCATCCTTGATCATTTGGCAAAAAAAAAAACGCACGAAACTGAAAAAAAACACAGGGAATGGACGTCCGAGCGATGGCCAGAGAGAGGGATAGGCACAGAGGGGGATTCATCGACCCCGACTCGCCCACTGATCGCCGATAGGGGCCCGATGGCCCCAACCTGCACCCCAGCAGGTGCGGATCCACTCTCGGGGGCCCATCGCCGATCCATCGGCGATGCATCGCCGACTTTTAGGTCGATGCGTGCCCCCTTCATGCCAGGCCCCCCCTCGATCGTTGCCCCCTACTAGCATACCCCCTTGTGCCAGTCCCCCCCTGTCGTTGCCCCTTAACCACTGGGCAGAGAGGGGGCCCCGGGCCGACTGCTCAGCTCCTCCCGCGCCGAGGCCACGGCGCCCCGGCGGGGCCCGGCTGGCCCCCCGCGGGCCACTGCCGCGGGCGCCGCGGCGGGGCGGGCGCTTCCTGTGAGACGGGCGCGGCGCGGCGCGCGCGCGCGCCGCGCGCGCGGCGAGCTGCACCTCTCGCCGGCCGCGCCCCCCGCTCCTCGCCCTCCCTTGTACGACCTCGTCGGTGCCTCGGGGCTTCCTCACCCTGCCTCGGGAGAGGCGTCCCAGCAGCCGCGCCCCGCCGAGAGCGCTCTCCAGGGCTGCCCGAGCCGTCCTGGACGGCGGCCGAAGACCTGGGAAGTGGCCCTGAGAGCATGGACCTCGCGTGCCCGGCGGAGGCGCACGAAGAATCCTGCGCAACGCGCCGCGCGGCCCTGCGGAGCGGAGCGGGGTCGGCCACACGTGAGACCGACCCTTCATCGGAGCAATCCCTGGGTGCGCTCCCACGGGGGCCTGCCGATCGCTGCGCGCGGTGCGACAGCAGAGGCCTGCCCGCTTGGGTCTGGCACCCTCGCGCCCCCCCCAAAGCCGCGCACCAAAGATCACTCGGGCACAGGGTCGCTCTTGCATGTAGCCTTCCGTCGGTCATGTCCTTCGCCAGGAAGAATTATCAAAAATGGTCAAAAAGTAGTTTGGGGTCGATGTTTGGAATATGGTTGAGCATCCTTCTGATATACTGACTATTTTTGCACTTGTCGTCCAAAATCCCCCTGTGGGGGGACATGCCCGACCCAAATGTAGCCAGCTCGAAGACTCGGATGTGCCCATAGGCCATAGGTCATCATGAAGAAGAGAGGTCCACGAGAAAGGTGTCGTGGAGGTTTCTGGCCGTCTGCGGCCTCCCTGGCCCCCCACAGGCCCCAGGACCGCCCCCCAAAGCATACTCAGGATTTGACCATGATGAAACACATGTTTTCGGACCACCGCTTTCAGCGGCAGGCGACCAGATGCTTGCCACGAGGTGTGAAGGCGCCCCGTGATAGCTCAGACAGCTTACGTGCCGCTGGCGACGCGATGTGGTGCAAGGGTGGTCCTGGCGAAAGCCCCGGGGACCGCGACCCGTGTCCCTCTGGACCACTCTTTCCTGCTGCAAAGGTGGTTCTGGCCCGAGGCTTCCCTCCTGATTCCTCATGCTGAAGAGCCCCCCCCCGCAGCTTCGGAGCCCCTGGGGCCTGGCTTGGGCCTCGCGTGATGGGGTCCTCTGGAGGCGGGGCCCTCCCTGGAAAGACTCAAGCACGCTGCTCTCAAAAGAGAGTGCGCTCGGGCACAACTGCTCTGCCCTCGACGATGTGCGCCCGTAGTGAAACAGTTGTGCCCTCGAGGACCACCTTTTGGCCGGCGCCGCCGCTCCGGCGAAGGCTGGCCCTGGCGCTCGACCTCGGTGCACTCCTCGCCCTTGGCGCGGAGGGCGGCGGGACCTGGAGGTGCCGTGGTGTCGGGTATGCGGTGGCCTTCTGGGGCCTCTGGGCCGTCGCACCTGCACGGCGTTCCCCGCCTCGTCGCCTCTGCAAGCAGCGCCGGGCCGAAAGGACGTGCAGGCCAATCCCGAATTGCGCGGAGTTCCTATTGCCTTTCGGGCCCCGCCCCCGCCCTCCAACCCCCCTTTACGCAATTGAGCTTGCCAGAGTCCCCAAACAGGTAAATCCTTCGGCCTGCGGTGGCTTCCCAGGGCCCTCCCGGGCCGTCTGACAGCAGTTCGTTCTGGACGACAAGTTGGCCTCGGCAAAAGCTTCGGGGTGCACGACCCTTTCAGGGCCACAGTCTATCCGATCTACCCGATTCGAGATCGATGCCGATGTTCCGGCGATCCGAGGCGGCCCGATGCGATGTTCGCATGTCGTTGTTGCGCATCTTGGCGCAGACGATCCGATTCGATTTCGATCGATTTGCCGATTCGAGACTGACGGATCCTGCCCTTCCACCATGGCACGGCCCCTTTCCTCCTGCCAAGCTTCGGCCTTGGTGTCATCTTTGCCCTGCGGCTCTCCGTCCTCCTCCCCCCTCCTCGCTTGCCCTGCTTCTCACGTCCGCCTCCTCCTCCTCCTCCGTAGCCATTTTGGCTGAAGCCGCTCCCCGTGTTTGCCCCAACTTCTTGGCTCCAACTTGCTGAGCTCATGGCGGCTTGAGGTCTCTCTGGTTTTTCTTGTCTGGCGCCTGTTTCATTCCTCTGCTGGTGGGCTACGTGACTGGCAGTGGCGTTTTCTTGTCATTGTGTTATGCGTTCGAAATACAATTGCTTGGCGGCGAGAGTCCGCCTAGTGGAAAAAGAAACATACGTACAACTGGACCCTTCTTTGCAAAGTTCGGCACTTCGGCGCCACTCTTATCTGTGCGAAGTTCTTCAATATAACGTCCATCATCCCAGCCATGCTGCGACTCTGGCTCGTCCGCTGGTGGGCGACCGCGTTTATCGTCATAGTCGCAAGCTTTTTCGGCGTGCTGGGCAGGAGCGACACGTTGTCTACCTGGACCATTCGCCCGAGCACATGAAGGTATCTGGTGCGTGTTCTTCACATATTTCTGTTCGTGCGCGCCGCTGGCAGCAGCCTCGCTGCCACCGCCACCATACCACCGACTTCGTGCTGCGCTCGGATGCCCCGGCGTTTTCGCCTCCGGCTTACCTGCTCTCTGGTGAGAGCGCCGTCGCCGCATACCGCTCGGAGCCCTTGGGGCATACGAGGTCAGGGAGCGGCTTGGAGACGGCAGGGCTTGCTTTCAGCGGGTCTGAGTTTGACTTCTGCGATTTCCATTATGACTCGTCTTTCGTTCTTCCGCCATACGTGCCCAGCACTGGGATGGATATGATTTCTTACTCTGCCTTGTGGGGGGCTCTTCAAGAACTGCAGGACATGGCTCGCCAGGCTCACGTGATGGCGTCTTCTGCTGCTGCCCAAATTGCCTCTTGTTCTGATCTCGTCAGCGTGATCGAGCAAAAGAACGAGAAGCAGTTCGCATCGATTTCTGCTCTGGTGGAAATGGAATGGGCTATCCTTTCTTCGCTCCCTGGTGCATCGGTTGCCGCCAACTTATCCTCTTTGGTGTCTGAGATGACTCATCTCAGTGAGCGACACGAGCAGCTAGAGCAAGCATTCATTGATCACCATCAAGATATTGTTCTCACGGTGTCTTCCTTGAAGCAGCCGCACTCTGAGTTCGCTGCTCACCTGGTGTCGACGATCCCACACGCAGGCATGGTGAATGCGACAATGGACTCTATGCGAGGCCTCCTGCGCGCTCAGCGTGGTAAGCTTCACGATGAATTGCAATCCGCTCTGACTCTGGGCCAGGGGCACTTACGCAAATCTGTGCGTCAGGATATACTCTCGCTGAAACAACGGATCTCTGCGGTTCAACAGGACGGCCTTCCGCCTGACTATGTTCGGCGGCTTGTCGAAAGGCCGCTTTCGGGTCTATGGGATGATTGTCAAAAGCTGGTCGATTCGCATGTGTCAAAGGTGAATGAGTTATGTCTGACGTCCGCGAGCAAGTGGCGCTTGAGGCCCACACTCTGTTCCACAATTTGTCGGCCGACGTGGCCGTGTTGAGGGAGTCTGCGGCGTTGGTGCAAAAGTATCGGCGCGCGGTCTGTGACACCTCTGCACTGCAAGAACAGGTCGCGACCCGTGACAGTGCTTTCCAGCAGTTGACTGAGATGCTTGGGATGCTGGTCTCTGGGAATCCGAAAGCTATTGCAGACGCTGTTAGTCGTGCACTCCAGCAGTTCGTGGAGAGCGACGTCATAGCTGGGGCTGTGCGTGCTGAGCTGCTGCGGTCCCCTGCGCGTGACGACCCCGTTCATGTTGGTCTCCTCCCGAGTCGTCTTCGTCCTGCTTCCTCCCATCCGTCGTCCTCGTTCTGATGATGCGGTGATGTGCGATGTTTGTGGATGGCGGAAAGCACGCCGTCATTCTCGCTTGACGTGCATCTGCATGCTGAATGAGGTGACGAACTGGACGCTGTGATCGACTTCTCTGTGCTGCCGCCGTTCCTCAGTGTCTCGGCGCAGTTCATTGTCCTGCCCGGGGACGTCCTTGGCCTCTCCTCCCTGGGCTGCCTCCCAGGTATTCTTGCTATTCGTGTGGCTTGCGCCTCCCGCGGTTTCGGTTCGTGCTCTTGGCGAGAGCGGCGGATCCAAGTATATTCTGCCAGACAAGACGTCTTCCCTACGCTGGGCTCCTCCTCCTCCTCCTCCTCCTCCTCCTCCTCCTCCTCCGTCTCCGCCTCGTCGCCCTCGCCCTGATCTTGCTCCTGCTCCCCCTCCTCCGCCTCATCCTCGCCGTGCTCTTCGCTCCTGCCTGTCACTCCCCCCCCTCCGCCCCGTGCCAAAGTGCAATCCCGCGTGCCATCAGTGCCTCCGTCTCGCCCCTGCCCGCGACGCCTGCAGGCCCTCCCCCCGCCGCCCCGCGCGCGAGAGGCGCTCCGGCCGCGGGCGGGCCAGCGCTGGCGGCGGCGGTCCGCAGACCAGGCGGCCCTTGGGGGGAGGGGGCCCTCGCGCTGCGAGGGCTCTGATATCGCTAGGTCGGACGTGTCCCTGTACAGGAGGAACACTGACAGAGATTAATGCAAAAATCGTCCGGGGACGACTCGTTGAGCATTTTGGTGTTCTTATCGAGCATGTTTGGACTATTTTCAATTCTTTCGTCCAAAATCCCCCTCTCTACATACAGTCAATACTCCGAAGTCAGACCGCCGCCGTTCCCTCGCCGTTCCCTAAGTCTTGCCGTTCTCTGAATCTTTCATGCCGTTCCCTCGCCGTTCACTGAGTCTTGCCTTTCCCTGAGTCTTGCCGTTCCCTCGCCGTTCCCTGAGTCTTGATGTGCGGGTTCGGAAGGGTCTCGCCGATCCCTGGGTCTGCCATGGGTGCTCGCTCTTTCGGCCTTCCTCGTGCACCCAAGCCCTCCTGGTGGCGAAGAGGATCATCCTCCCGTATCGCGCGTCTCTGATGGCAGCTGAGCGAGGTCTTTAGTGATGCCCCCCCCGCCGAGCTTTCGGCGGGCAACAGCACTTGTCCTTCCCTCCTCCTCGTCCCTCCCTCCTCGCCCCCCTCGCTCTCCCTCCTCGCCCTGCTCCCCGTGCTCCCCTCCTCGTCCTCGCCCTCCTCCTCCCCCTCCCCGCTCTCCCCTTCCTCGCTCTCCCTCCTCGCCCTTCTTGGGGAACCAGCAGGAGGCAGGAAGGCCTCTCCGCACCTCCCTCCCCCCATGCCGCATGTGCCTCTCAGGAGCGCCCGCCGGCACCGCCCCTCTGAGCCGCCGCCTGACAGCGGCCCCTCTGCGGGCCCGGCTGCATGGCGAGGCGTCGCGCCGCTGCGTTCAGGGAGCCTCCCTCTCCAGAGCTCCAGCACCTC